TATAAAGCCATGTTGGACTCTGTTAGATTCAGCAGACAACTGAAAATAAGGCACATTGGATTAAGCAGGAAACTCCGGTTGGACTCTTGGATTTAGCAGGGTAGTCCCGAGGAACAACTAGGGCGTTAGGGTTTTTAAAAAATCAGGCGAGCCCAATTTTATGTCACACAGTGACCAAAGAATGGCTCTTCTACCGGTACATACTTGACTGATATCTCAACAAGGCCTTTAACAATGTGCGTCCACACATAACTCTTGGCCTAATGACTGAGCGATACGACTCCATTTGCGGAATTAAAATGCAAAGCAGCCTTGCGGTGTATACACGGTATATACACATGAGCAGGGGATACTCCGCCTGATGGCAAAACATGCGGTTGACTACACGAGTCACTGAAGCTGAATGGGGATAGCCGGCCCTTAACTAATGAGGCGTGAATTTCATTGGATGCACACAGCAGTTCAGGCATGGTGCTTTTTTTTTCTTTTTTTTGGGCTGGCTAGTGGTAGATGAGTTTTAGCAAGGCAACGTACGTGTATATAGCTCCGTACAAACTACAAAATAAATGTTAAACTATACATACATGTATGGCATTTAGCTACACCAAGACAAAAGTATTTAAGTCTGAAAGAATTCTTGAATAACAATTAATTCTTGTCTAACCCACAAACTTGTGTACATGAATATACATGCACACATATACATGTACATTATTTCGTCAGTGTTTATATGTGTATCTTAGTGTTTAAATTTGTTCTTATTTTTGTATTCACACCCCTATATTTTACATATTTGCATTTTTGTTTCTTCATTCTAGTTTTTACTTTTACTTAATGTTCTTAGTGATTTTACATAATATTTTTCTTTTATTTCATTTTATTCTTATCATTTTATACAGGGCCCTCAGTAATAGCAGTTTTTAACTGATGAGGCTACCCTGTCTAAATAAAACTATAAATAAATAAATGTACATGTAACTTGTTGTACAAAATGAAGCAGAACTACGTAGCACTGTAGATAAGTACCAGTATATATGAGGAAAATAAGTTCAAGCAGTGCTCTCTGGGAATATTGTAGCTGAATTTTCGGCCCCACTAGGCCTTCATCGGAGCTGGACTGGCGGTTTGAATGTAACTTCCCGCACGTGACAGTGCATTCATCTTGAATAAACATTCACCTCCACGTCGATATTTACATACGTGTTCAATTCATGCTCTTCTGAATTGATTTCTCCCTAAAAAAAATGTAAGTTTGAATTTTTGAATAAAAAGCATTACGATGTACAATGTAATCAACTTGGTCTGAAACATTTATAATCATGTACTACATTAGAAGCATGTCACATTACACAAATATTGAGTGGCTCAGAGGGCAGTGGGAGGAATATTATCGCAAGGTAAAATCTGGACTTGTCTATTTCACGAGGCGAAGCCGAGTGAAGTGGAAAAATCAAGATTTTACCGAGCGATAAGATTCCTCCCATTTCACAATTTGAAGCCACTCAATATTTGTTTATATCCGACATATAGATCGTTGTCATTTGATTGACAGTTCAAATGAACTTCTATTTCAATACAAAATTGGTGGGAAATGTATTTCTCTTATCCAAATCACCCCTTCACGCAATGTTTGAACCCAACTCTGTAGCTCTGTGGGGAACAATATGCGCTATGCGCAACGCTCAACGCGCACACCAGCATGCATTGGCACACAAATACCGCGCCACGGAACAAGGATGATCCGGAACTGTTGAATAGTAAATCCCATTCACCATGGGTGAATGGGAGTTTTCGAGCCCCAGCATGTTTGGGAGCAATAATGCATGTCATGTGATGTGAGTTCCACCAATCAAATGACAAGGATCTGCATGTCAGTTGTATAATTGAATCTTTTTCAGGCTCTATAATGTTACTTGTAGCGAGCAGAATTTCTGTCAGAGCATCCGTCATTGGAGAGCTTGCCATTAAGGTCATGCTTGAGAATTTAATCAATTCAACTTGATATTTATTTTTCGGACTGCCATGCCCCCAAAAGCAGAGATTGAAATTCTGCAATTTGAAATTCTGGTTTTAAACGATAATCATCTAGTCAAATTAGGTTTGCCCTTCACCGACGTATAAACACTGTATACTCAGTGTGCTACCTCCAGAGTGAAAGTTGGAAAAAAAATCACTCGGGTGGGACTCGAGCCCACGACCTCCTGCTTTCTAGTGCAGATGTCTTACCACTCGGCCACCGAGCTAATGGGATCGATTGGCTGGTTCGAATCTGATGTACATAGCAGCGGGTACCGCATTAACTATTCATAAGATGGAATTTTGATACCTGATTCCATAATCTGGAACCGGTTCCTGACATTAACAGTGGGATACTTTGGTACCCAGTTCCAATGCACAGCCCTACTGAACATTGCTTTTCCAGAGATGAAACTGAAAGACTATAAATAGCCAGCCGATGTAAACAGCCAGCAATGTGTTTCATAATAATTGGCTGCATGTATTACTGCAGTGGACTGCTCTGTACACTTGTCCCTGTATATATGTACATTCAGCACTTTACATTTTGTACCACCTGTGCAATCAACTGATTAATTTTATTTCATCCACGATAGAAAGCAGTCCGCACGGAGTGGAGACCTTCACGCAGATATACGGGCCCTAGATTCCAGACATGCCAGATGGAAATTTAGCAATTAAGCGAAAGCTTGCTCAGAGTTGGCTTATGGTAAAAAATGCACCCGGAAAGCACAAAAGATGCTGTACGCATGAATTACGGTATTTGTAAAGCGATTTATTCAATAACAAAATTTTTGGCAGATTATTATTTTGTGTGTGTGTGTGTGTGATGTCTTAAGCAAATGTGATAACTTTTCTGTTGCTAGAAAAACGGCAATCTAAAATATCTAAAACAAAATCTACCGTTTCGGGTGAAACTTGAAAATAGCCATAGAGAACAAATTTCAATGTTTCTCTTAAATGTGTCACATTTTCTAAAAATATTATCCTACTTTTTTGTCAATCTTAGTAGTATAATTCATGAACCAGAGACTACAATCAAAAGGCATGAAAAAATAAAGAGCAAGACAAAACAAAAGAAACAATGTCTTTTTGGTCTAATTTGCATCACTACAATTAAAGGCAATACATGTACAACATTTGCAAACATCAAAAAACAAAACTACCAAATTATCATAAAATACCTTACTTGACAGTAAGTGAGTAATAGTCTCAAGCATCCTGTGAAATCATTGCACCTGGTGTGCTGTCACTTTCAAGAAAAGTGGAATTTTTGTATCAATTTCCAACGATGGTCGACTGACCATTTTTGGAACAAACCTGACTTATTTTAACTACTGCCCCCAATTTACCACATTTTATTTGCAATCGGTTACATGTTGGTTTATCCAACATTTATGAACACAACTTTAAAAAGGTCGGTGTAACAATATTTGCAAAAAAAATACCCAAATCCATCCATTTCTGAAAGTTACAGCAAAATCAAATGTTGTAAATTACCAAATCCATGCCAATACATATTCTTGGTTTTTGTTCCGATTTAAAGATTAGTAGGCCTACATGTGCACAGAGAGAGAAACACATGTACATGTACATGTACATGTACTTCCCATCCATGTGGTTCAACTACAATATAAAAAAAAAATTCTCAGTTAGTGCACGTACGCATGGGATCCATCCAGATACTTCGCTTCATTAATGTAAAATGTTAAGTCAACAGCTCAACTCTCCGGGGATTTTCAATTTTCAATTGTGATTTTCAACGTCCGTCCACTGCACTCAACAATGAGAGTCCATATCAAATCGCAGCTGTCCTCAACTAAGAGTGCGAAGCATTGTGCAGGGGTTTTCTATTAAATGGAGGCACCCATCTTGCTGCTGAAAATATGCATGAATCTCGGCTTTTCATGATGGAGTTTCCATGGTTTATTTAAAACATAGTTTTCTATATTTGAACATTATAGAGGCATCAATGTATGGACTTGTTTTTCTTTAGTTTTTTTTTTTAATTGTTCAATAATAATAATTGTTTAATATGAAAAAGCAGGAATATTCTGTTTCTCAAGGTAGTCTAGTTTCTTCGTTATCCAAATCTAAATCAGGAACACGTAACTTTGCGTTTCGTGGAGTTAATTCTTTCAATAACCTCCCTGCGACACTTAAACATCCGTTGCCTCCCACTCTTGCCAGTTTTAAGCGCCTCTACACGAACCTGACAGTTTAATATTATATGGTACACGTATGTCTTGTTTTTGTATTTTTACTGCCAATGTAACAACCGTGATTAACCTTGTCTCATTTTACTGTTTATTAATTAATGTTCTTAATTATATCTTTGTAATGTTGTTATTTTTATACTATTGTATGCTTGTTGTAACTGCTGGGCACCTTTGAAAAACAGTGTTCCACTGAAAGGTCTCCCCAGGATAAACAAGAATTAAATAAATAATTAAATAATAATAAAGTTGAGGATAACCGTTCCTGCTCCTCAACAAATTCAATTAGTTTGTCCTAAAGAATTTTTAATTTGTTTGTTTAATTTAAACCCTATAAAAACCTTCTCATATACTCCAAAATCCTCTTTGCAAAACTGAGGATTTCAAAGCATTAAGGTCCTTTGAAAATTGAGGCATAAGAGGATTTTGCAGTATTGAGGGCAAAATAAAGAGGATTTTGCCTCGGGAGGATAATCGAGGATCCAGGTCATCAGGCCCAATCTGATGCTGGAGGATTTTGAAGGATTGAGGCAGTGTGTATCCTTCATTTGAACATAAGTGCACAATATTGGAGGATTTGGAGGATTGAGGATGGTTCCTAGCAAAATGGATGGTTCCTAGTGACAAAGTGCTTTGCCAAAGGACACATGTACACCCCAGCCTGGAATTGAACCAGTAACCAGCAGAACTAGCCGTAAGATCGTGTGTTCAGTGCACCAGGCCACAAGGCCACTGCACTCCAAGATATTTACTCTACAGTATACTCACATGTGTGGAGGCACTCAGTGATAGTGGTGGCGTCTATGAGGTAGCCGTTGCACAGCTTGCAGCAGATCTGCTCATTTAGATCTACCAGCTTCACCCGCCGGTCCATCTGGAGAGAAAAACCAAAATCAAATCACAATATATGTTCATTCATTCATTCATATTTATTTCCACTTAATCATTTTGAAGGGAAACGGTTTAAACAATAATTTAGATAACAGGCACATGTTACAATATGTAAAAGATGGTACTCAGGTACTGGACCATGTATGCATGCTGCAGGTAGTGGTGGGATTTTTATCTGGATTTTTTTTTTAATTCGGTTTGAATTCCACTATTCAGTTTCAATTTTGGAAACCGGGTATTCAAAACTGACCTTAAAAAAACATCACCGAATTTGCTCCATGGTCTCTGATTGTAACTGCCTTCACCTACAAATGGTCTTCTTGGCATGAAGAACCTACCCATTCAACTTATTGTGCACCTCATTGCTGGTGGTGTTTCCATTCAAAAACATGTTTTTTTTCTGTAATTCCACTAAATAGAATCCACTATTGAATGTTAAACACTGAGCAGACTTGCACATGGATTTTGCAGTCACTGTGTTAAAAAGACAATGAAATTACTTTGATGTATTTGAAAAAAGTATGCTTGTTTTTTTAATCAAAGCAAGTACATATACATGTATATACTGTACATGTTGCAATGTAAGAATGTTTCTACATACATAGGTACCTGTGTCTCGGGGGGGGGGGGGGGGGGGGCAACAGACACATTTTTCAAAAAGATGGGGGCACAAATGCTCCCTTGTCCCCTCTCAACCACTGCCTACCGGTATGATAAAATGATCTTTTCCTAAACAGGTCTAAAAAAAAATATGAGCATAGTTTCTGTTACCCAAATCAGAACAGGACGGATGATTTGTATAATAAAATGTACACAATATCCAACATGCATGCAATACATGTAATTCCTTTCCATTCCCCAACCCCATCCCAAGGGTCAATCCAACATTTGAAAAGTAATCATGCCTGAATAAAGACGGTTCTTGACGCCGCACAGATGTACAAACAAAAGGAAAGCTACAATTTCCACTTTTCACCACTCCTCGTGATTCATGGGAAATGACACGTTAGGAGAAAATTGAGTACATGTATACATATGTACATGTGTACCGGCACATGTACAGTACATACATGTACGGTAGCTTATACCACTCAAACCTATCGGTCTCAATTTATCATGTGCTCTACATGTACATGGTACATGTACCGTATCTACCACAGGAAAGACCAGGCATGCATGTGCATGTATACATGTACATGTAATTGTTACCTGCAAAACTGTGGCATCTGATTATCACCACATTAAACTATTCGTTTAAATATAAAATATACATTCTGCACTGGCCAATAATGAAAGTAAACAAGAATGGTGCTAGTATTGAAATACTCCTGTTAGCACAACCTATATGTATTTCAGCAAAAATGATTCCCATATATATTTGTTTTTAATCTTTCATTTAAAAAAAACACCAAAAGCAACGTGGACTGTTTCAAAATATTACTAGTGCTTATATTCACAACAAAAATCACCATCACCGAAGCGCAAGACCTTTTACCGATGATCATTAACGGCCCTGCACTAACACATACAACACAATACAGCCCCCCCCCCCCCCCAGCAATTTATTAAGTGGTGCCCTGGGGCGGTCCGCAAACTGGAACACACATTATGGGAGAACACACTGTGGGGGAGACGGTTGACTGATACTCCCTAGGCTTGATCAGATTAACAATGGGAGCCCAAAGAGGCTGTATCAAGGTTCAACGTAGGCACGGTGTGCGCCGAGTGCGTCGGTGCATGCATGCCCGGGCTTTCTGCCTGAGAGAAAAACTGTCTGCAGTTAACACGAGATTACTAATTAGCTGAAGAATTTCTTTGTAATATTTACCTTTAAAGGTACGTATGTAGAAACAATGGTATAGAAACAGACCTACCGATTTAATGAGAAAACCTCAAGGATATCAAATACCCAGTGACATTTTTTTCTGCATGACAGGGTATCGTTCCGAAGAAAACATTAATGGTTTTAACATGCGCCAACAACAGAGTCCTATTGTAGGAGAGCCATAAAGATTGTGCATGAAACTTTCTGTTTTCTGTTGTCTCAGTTCCTAACACACCAAAAATGCACAAAATCAAAAGATGCTACGAACATGTACAGTTTAACACCCCTAGAAAATATAAATGTGCAATTCCACGCAGACAGATGTTTTGTCATTTCGTAACAGACTTCATTGTTATTCCTGATTCGTAAATGAAAAGAAGTTTTTTCTTTTTCAAAAAAACGAAAGTGAAAATAAAACTTGGTACCTTTTATTTCCACTTTAATCTTTTGAAAAACTTCTTTTCGTTTGCAAGTTATGAATTAGGCCTATAATGAGGTCGGTTACAGAATGACAAAATGTCCGCTTTTGTATGGAATTGCCGAAAAGTCAAGTGCATTGACATTTTTTTTCAGTCGACCTGTGTATGAATACCTACGCGTATCACTTCCACTGGCCCACAGAATGTTAAATAGTTTTATCTTAACTTGATATAAATCGAAGAATGAACTCCTCGTACTGCACGTGTACATGTATGCACGTACATGTACATGTACGTACGTATGCATTTTTCAACAGTTATTGAAATATGAAACCTACTGTTTCGAACATTATCAAACAGTAAGTATACAAATATTGACTGCTTCAAGTGGTGAAGTAAAATTAGCCTCCTGGGAGATCCATGGAGCATTATATTTTCCCCCGAGGCAAAGCCAAGGGAAAATGGAATGCTACCTGGATCACCTCGGGAGGCTAGTTTTACTATACACGAGTTAAAGCAGTCAATATTTGTTTTATAACGCCTCTCCCCCAGAGTCTGCTTGATTTTAAGAGACGCAGACCCGTATGCATTTGCACACAATATATAGTTACCGGTTGCTATGCGTATATGGTTGCCATGCACAGCAAGATAGCAAAACTAGCGAATAGCATGTGACTCACTCTCGGCCAATCAAGATACAGAATCTGTGGATGAGGTGTCATACAACAAATTATCTTTCGCATTAGACAAAGTTACAGTCCATTTCGTATTCAGGAAAAGTTTCATGTACACAGAATGCACCATCGATTTCTTGGGAATCAATAGATGCCCCGTTCAAAAACATGTTGGGGTAATTTCCTGGTCAAATATGTTTTTTCGTTTGGTTCCCAGAACTATCTGAAACAACATTGCAACTCTTTCCACTGAAACCAGTTTCTGTTCCTGCATAGTTTTAATAATCAGGTTGTGAAACTGGTTTCGGAATGTTCTTGGTTGTAAAAAAAAGTAATGAGAGTTTTGGAAAGACAGATTTAAAGAAGTTAGCTCGGTGGCCACCATACATTTTGAAGAAAAACAGGGAAAATCTATGCACAATTTTTGGTGCCATTAGGCACACTTTAAAAAAAAAATCATCCTCAATGATTGTTTTCTTTCGATCAAAACCAGTTCAGGCAGGAGTAATTTCACAGGGTACTTGGTAACAGCCCCTTTCTTCACTTTGAGCAAGATTAAATTGTTAAATTGGGAGCGAGGCCAGATCCAGAACACAATTTTTTGGGGGGGGGGGGGGCCTAAGTATTTTTTTTTTGTTCCCGCAAAAAGTGGATCCAAAAATATTCAGACCCAAATTTAATATAAAAAGTAAGGGGAGGGGTGCAAATGTACTGCTTTTGTTGATTTTTTTGGATATTGCAACGTTACTAACAAAAAAAAAAAAATTTAAATCGGGTTCTTTGGGGGGGGGGGGGCATTGATCGGTAGGTGTGTTTCCAGATAAATATCAAGTAACACATATCATCGCGTCAGTACAACAAGGTTGTAACTATATTCTGCAACAAAGTCGTTTCTCGCACGAATACACTCCTGCAACAAGGTCGTACCGGTATCTCGCAAGAATATGCTCTGTGCAACAAGGTCATATCTCGACGTCCATTGACTTTGTGTGTACATCCGGGTTATTTTAAGTGAGATACCACCTTTTGACATTCTGAAATTCGCGTTTCACATACGGCCCATTTTAGGAGATACGACCTTGTTGCACAGACACGAAGATATGTACAAAGTATGCATGTGTAGACGCGTAAAGTTCTGCCACTCAAGTGCAGATATACATTGTATAATTAAATGGTGTATTCGTTTTCAATACGGTGAACCCGATGTCTCCTTTTTTGCAAGAGAACTTTTCCTCTCGCACCGACGATAAAGTTTTGCTGCACGCTCTTCTCTCAAAAAGGATACTCACCTACTGGTATAGTACTTCGCAATACAGTGATTCAATTGACTTTCAAGAGCCTTGCCGTATTGTCTCAGACCAAAATAGAAATTAATTGGCTGTAACAGCGGATGTGTTCAAGTACAACATTTAAGCCTTTTGTACATCATTACAGCAACTCGGATATATCACCTCAGTATAATTTCTCAGTGTACCGATCGGCTAATGCAGACGTGATTAAGCAGAGCAGCTAATAAAACGCAGGGTGATGATCAATTTGTGTTCGGCCGTATCACGACAATGATCCAATTAGTGACAGGTGCTTCGCCCGCTGCCTCTTCCCTCCCTGCAGGTGAGCTTAAGGCCACGTCAGCCAGTGGAGAGGAATGGATCCGCGGCCACATTAAACAAGTCAGTGACATTCTTCAGGTTGTTTTTTTTTATGGGAGTATGTCACCAGCATGTTCATTTCAGGGCAATAGGTAAATAAGCTCTGAGCTTTGCACATTGTACATGTCGTCACAGTTTTCACATGGAGGCAAATTTAGTGTACTGAGGGAAAAGGGAATTTGTCCTTCAGCAAAATTGTGACGATGTACTGGTATACATTTGTATATTGGGCTTAAAGGGAAAATACAACATTTGCAAACATCAAAAAATAAAACTACCAAATCATTTTGAAATACCTTGCTGGACTGTTAGTGAATGCCAGTGTAAAGCATCCTGTAAAATCATGGCACCTGGTATACTGTCATTATCAAGAAAAGTGGTAGTTTTGTATCAATTTCCAACGCCGATCGGCCGATCAGCGTTGGAAAAAACTGGCTTTTTTTTCAAATACTGGCCCCAGTTGACCATCGCACTTGTTTGCAATCGATTACACCCCTATGAACGGGTACAAGCCAGCTAGACTGGTTCCCTGACCTTACAATTCCCCAATATATGTAAACTGCTCTGTTTCTTCTTAAATGGAGTCAGGGAACCAGACTACAGGAAAATGATTGTTTTTCTTGGTTTTTATAGCATTTTCGAACCCAAAACCTCAAAAAAGTCAGTGTAACTATATTTGCTACATGTATATATTTCCAACCCCCCCAATTCCATCCATTTCTGAAAATTACAGCAAAAGCAAATGATGTATATTCCCTTT